GCTGAAGACAAGATCTTCAAGATTAACAAAATACTAGTAAACTGCACCAAAGAGTAGAGCCTGAAACTAGACTGCAACCCTTCTAAATCATAAATATTGACTTCCTGAGGGCAAAATTGATCTGTTTTCTTTTGGCATTGAACCACAAGTGAAACAGGGGACAGGTTCTATTCTTGTACCTATTTTCATACTAGTGCAGAAGCTTTGGGAAATGTTAATATCTACAGTACTGAGCTTTACCCCTAGAGGATGTGTGCCCGTGGAGATTCCCATACTCTCTGTTTTAATTGGTTTTATTGCATGCTGAATTATGTAGGCCTTGTCAGGATGTTTCTTTCCTATTTGTTTGTCTTTCTTATTTGACACTGAAGGATGTTTTAGCATCCTGTTTTCCAGTGAGTTCATGCTTAGGAAAGTATTCAAGCATCTCAGGTGCAAAAAGCAGCTCTGGGATTGCAGCAATCTATTATGGCAGAGAATGCCTGCAGGTGCTCTGCAGCTTAAGATTGCAAAATAAGAGGAAGAATTTTGTCCTGCAAGTAGCATTTCTGGAATGTCTGAGAAGAGTTTTTTTAGGGGTTTCACATGTCACAGCTGTCCTAAAGCACTAGTGAGCTGAGGAACACCAGCAGCTCTGTAAATAACATCCCAAGGCAGGCATTTTTCACTTGGTCAGTAAATTTTGACCACCTCTGCCAAGCACATCCCATGTCCCATGAATGCCTGACTAGCCTAGGCCCTTTAGCTGTTCTGTGTCCACTTTGGAATGTGGCGATACTGTCTTCTGATTCACAGAAAGAGGAGGGGCTGTTGTGACAGCCTGTCTTCGACTTCAGTGATTAACCTACACGTTTCTTCCTTGCCCATCTGTCAGCATCTAAGAGAGAGGAAGATGATTTCTCATGTGGTATTCACCACAGTTACCTGGGCTGTATCTTCATCCTTCCATGCAGAGGTTGACTGCAAACTTCTTCCAGAAAAGTTGCAGACTAAATTCGACAGGATGCTAATGAGCACCTAGTGCTTATAGTCTTTCTCCCTCCTTAGCGCAGGGCCTTGCCAAGCTTGTAGCTGTCTCAAGACACGTGGTTTTGATTTTTCATTTGTGCCATAGGCAATGTATCTGTATTCCTGCATGCACTCCATCAGCTAGCTCGCTAGAACAGAAGCAAAATATCAGCATAAATGTGACATCCATGTTTGATATGGGTTCTGAATTTACAAAAGAGCAGAGTGTTTTACACTGCTTGAAACAAGAGGGAGGCACGTTTGTGACCTTACAGCTGATTTTGTCTTTTAATTCTCTTCTAGGTGAGAGACCTTACAAGTGTCAAACCTGTGAACGGACCTTCACTCTGAAGCACAGCCTGGTTCGTCACCAGCGCATACACCAGAAAGTCAAAAATGCCCGAAACCACGGGAAGGAGAGTGACAAGGAGGAGACCCAGTCGAGGTGTGAAGAAGACAGTGAAAATGAGTCCAATCACAGTGGCGCCAACCCCATCTCAGAAAACGAGTGTGACTCTGCGGGGGCTGTCGGTAGCCATACACCCCTCATGGGAAGCCGAAATGAGTCCCTGGCCGGCACGGTCATGGATTCCCCCTGCGGAGAGGAGAGGAGCAGCACCTGCCTCATGGAGCCCACCAAGAGCGCGCAGAAACAGACCGCGAAAGACCAGGAACCTCGGGGTGGCTCCGAGCACGAGGGGCCCTCAGGTTTCATTCAAGACTTGCTGGAGATGCACAACACACCATCTCCCATGAATCACATCCTTGCCCCTGCAGACAGTGCACCTCAGCTCTTGGGGGTTGAATGACTTGCTAGGAGGTTGGACCCGTCCCAGCAGGCAAACTGAAGCCAGCAGAAGCAAGGTTTCTGGAGTCTCGTTTTGGAAGAGCGACCTACAGCTGTGGGGAGAGTATGGCAGACTGGACACGGTGCCATATGCCTTTCAGTATAATAATGCAAGAGACTACAGTGTATACTGATTTGAGTGCCTTACTACTTTATTAGATCTTTTGGTATTATAGATTTTTTCAAAAATGATTTTAATATTTTAAAGAATTATTTGGAGAGGACCCTTTTTCATTTAAGCATTAATGTTACCTTTTGTATTGGTGTGTGTGAGCTTGTTCTTGTATATCTGTGATAGTCGCTGTGTTTGTTCTCTGAGCTGGAAATGGGGGCAGTGGGGTGGGAGGCCCTTGGATACCACAGCCAATAACTGGAAGAAAAATGATGTGAATTTCATATGAAATAGTCAGAGGAGATGCAGAGGAGATGTTGATTTATTGTTTTTTCTCAGTAGTTGTTCTTGCATTTGCCACACGGTGGAGCATTAAGCCTGTTCGAGGCCTGAACAACGTGGCAGTTGAAGGTGTTCGAAGTGGTTCAAGCCAAAAGCAGGAAACACAATGAATTTCAACCTCACACTTGTTTCCACTTTTCAGCATTAGAAATGGTCTTCTGAATCCTAGGGGTTTTTTCTGGCCGTCATGAACTGAGCATGCATACAGAGAAGAGTTACATAGCAACGTAACCTATGGAAATTATGCACCTGCTGTTACATATGTTTGATTTGCTTCAGTATATTATTATTATTATTTTATTATTATTTTATAAATCCATCAGTTCGCTTGTCTCTGCAGTCAGCAGAAACCAATGGGCAATATTTGCCCACGGAGATGCGTAGCGCAGCTTGGATCCCTCTCGAAGTGTTTTTGACTTAATGCTTTCACCAGCTCCTGCTCCTCCTCCTCCTCCTCCTGCTCCTCCTCCTCCTCTTCCTCCTGTGTTGCAGCTCTTCCACTGTACTTTAAATGAAACCCTTCCTCTGACCAGAGAGTCGAGTGGAGGCCAGCGAGGTATCATCCCACCTGTGCAGGGGTACACCTCACTCGTGGTGGGGTGTGAGTGCGTGCGTGTGGGTGCGTGTGTGCGTATCAGGGGAGAGGTGTGCGAGGATGGGGCCGCGCCGGGCCCTTCCAGGTGCGTGAGGAAGGCACTGCGAGTGCTGGATTAGTCTTGTTGCAATCACATTGGTGACAGCGTGCGTTACTTAAAGAGCAAAGTTATTCCAGTCTTCCAGTTGAAAGCAAGAGAGAAATGCGAGCCTTACCCTCGTCTTGCTACTGTCACGTTCTAGAGCAAGAAAATACTACTGGTAATTAAACTACAGATATACGACATGTTAAAATAAAATAAAATAAATTAAAAAAAAAAAATTAAATTCTTCCTGAGATTTTGGGGTTGATGCTTGAAGACTTGAGGTGTGCGTCTAAATTTCATATCAGTAATTTAACCCCTTTAATGCTGGCAGCTGGAATTTCTCCGTATGGCTCCTGTTGCCGGCAACAGGTGACACTCCGGCCACCAGTATTGAAGGGGTTAAGCGAAATATGTATCCTACTGTAGCTGCGCATTTTTAGGAGTGCACAGCGTTTTTGTTGTCCTTGTTGTTGTTGTCGTTATTGTTGTTTGTTAATTGTCCTTCAGTCATGACCTCTGGGACAGACAGAGCCATAATAGCATTGCCGGAGCCTCACTGTGCTGTTCCACCACTGCAGCCCAGCCCAGCCCAGCCCAGCCCAGCCCGCACTGTGACCCTCCCTCCTTCCCCCCGCAGATTTGCTTTTCCTGCTCTCACCAGACATGGAGGAAGTGGGCCTCGGACCCAGTCTATATTATATAATATATATATCTTTATATATCTATCTATATATTAAAATTCTCGGAAAATTTCTGGAGACTGAAATCTCACTGTCCAGAATTCAAAGGAAGAGAAGCGTTCTTGAGTAATATTCTTGCAAATAGAATAAGAAAAAATGGTTGAGGTATATGTGATTTCTATTTTTTTGTGGTTGATTTTTTTTTTTTTTAATTTTTAAATAGGGATGTTTGAACCAGTTCTGAAACGAAGCTAATGCCAGATATAGATAAACCAATCACAACCAATGATTCATTTGAAACTCTACCCAGGTGCATTCTACTTAATTAAAACCTGTTCATGCATCCCTTAAATTGTTATTACTATTATAATTATAATTATAATTATTATTATTATTATTTTGGGTATTTTTTGGGTTTTGTCCTTTGTTTTTTTGTTTGTTTATTTTGGGTTTGTTTTGTTTTCTTTTTGTTTTTGTTTTTTTTTGCAACTCTCCACACTAAACTGCGCAATACTGTGGGGGAGAAGCCATTACTAAACTATATGCTGCAGAACAATGTAGCAAGTAATTAATTCCCAGCATCCTGCCGGGACATCTGCTAGCAATAATCACTATTGATTTAAAGCTTTATTTAGCCTTTATCTATATCCTAGTAGAGTATAAGGTCTTGCCACATTTTATTGACATTTTTATTAGTTGAGTTTGACTGAGAACTGTTGCTGTTGTTGGGGTTTTTTTTTTTGTTTCCCCTCCTTCCCCAATATTAAACTGTGAAATTTATAATGTGTTTAAACTATGGGTGAATCTTAGGCTTTAGTTTGCATGTTCAGCTAATTTGTCTCTATATGATTTTTGTTTGAATCTTTTTATTTTTTTCCTCTCTCAGGGCTTTTACAAAAAAAAAAAAAAAAAAAAAAAAAAAAAAAAAACAAAAAAAGATCTTCTAAAATTCTTTTTCCTGAGTTGCAATGGACTTAACATGGAGATAATTCAATCACTACATTAAGCACTTGACTGTGAAAGCGCAAAAAAAAAAAATAAACAAAGGAAAAAAAAAAGAGAGAACTTTGTTTGAGGCTGTTGTGAAATAACTTTCGGGGGCTATGTGACAGTCTGATTCCATTTTCAGAATGATTCATCATCTTCTCTCTGTGTCTTTTTTTCTCTCTTCTCTCTCTCCACGAAGGAATTTTAATCCTAGTGATTTCATCCCATGCAGGAAACAGTAATAAATGTGTAGAATTCATATTTTTCTAAAGGGAACTTAAACTGCTGCTACGAATTGTGTACAAGACTGGTTTATGCCACATGAACAGAGAATCACACATTTGTTTTGGTACTTTTATTCCTCTTTTTATTCAGTTGTACAGTACTTCCAAATTCAAAATAAAAAGTAAAACTTGTTCTGTATCAAACCATCTAAGCAATAAAATGTTATATTTAAAAATTATAGGTTATGAAATGGACGTGGCTCTTCTTGTGCGTTTGTTGTAACTTGCTCTCAGACTTAGTTCTGCTGGAGGATGATGTACAAGCCAGATCTTATCTGTGCCAGTACCATCAGTATTTCTCTTCCTTCAGTTGGTCTGAGTTTGAGTTGCAGATGATTGCAGCACTCTGAAAAGGCGTGTTCCTTTAGACCACCGTTTTCTGGTAGTCAAGCCCCTTCGAGATGCTGCTTTTCTCCTGGTGTAGTTCCTCAGCGCAGCAGCCGAAGACAACAGGAAGGTACTTTGGTGCTGATTTTCCTGCATAGGCATTGGGTCAGGGTTCTCTTTATTTTCTTCTATTAATTGTAGCCCCACGGTCACATAAGGGAGCGTCCTTCCAGCTGTGGCGATTAACACTGTATCAGTTGTTTTCTGTGTAAATTAAGTTGGTTTCTGCCACTGTAGTTTTCTTCTTGCATAAATGTTTATGGTTGTGAACTTTTTGGGATGTATTCAAAAGCCACGTTCATGTGTCACAAAGAGAGAAATCCTTTGTTTTAGCTTGTCAGAGCTGCCTTAGTTGCATTTTATATGCCTTCCTATAAATAAAATGCATTTCACAGGACAGTGAGCCAAAGAATCATCTGAGTTGTGTATCCAGCTCTGGAGGTCAGGGAATTGCAGTGAAGCTGAAGCATCCCCATCTTCCTAAGTCCTGCTGCGATGGCTCTTTCTGGCAGAGAATTGAACCAGGTTCAGAATGAGAGAGACAGACTTGGGGTGAACTGCTGCTGCTTTCCTCCCTCAAGCCTCCTGCACCATCCTGACAGAGGTAAAAATTCCTCACAGCACTTCCTCTGATGAGGAGCTGGGCCCTCGTCCCTGAAGAGGGCCCGGTTCAAAGAAAAGCAGTCAGCTCTGCCCCAAACCGAGGATACCCGATGAAGTGGGGCTCTGTGAATGCACTCTAGGTGGGCTGAGGGGGTGGAGACATGATTTCTGAGGGAGGAAACCAGCAGAAAATAAGTTTTCCCTCTCCCACCCACTGACCTGTGTCTCCTCTCCTCTCGTGAGACTGATGGGAAGCTTGCATCCAAGTGGTGTGGGGACCTGTCAAGAGGTGTAAAATCAAGTGGGATGAGTTTATGTGGCTAGGAAGTGACTGTGACTAGTTACTTACAAAATAGGTGACTTAGAAGCACTTGGTTCTTGGCCGTGGAAGGGGTTATAGTTGCTGTGCCCAGCCCTTTTCTCCTTCTGCCTGAATTTGCCATGACTATTCACAGGTTGGGAATTTCCCTGCTCTTCTTGCCTTTGACAGGGTAACACCCTGCAGGGCCAGCTGAACTTTGCTCCTTGGTGGCATTTCCCTTTCCCTCTTTTTGCCTCCACTCCTCCCCACACCAACTCCAGTGGCAGACCTGGCCTGAAATACCAGGTTAACGGAGAGGTGGGGTGGTGGGAGTGTCTCTGTGTGTCCTCCAGCTTGCTGCTTCCTTGCCTCATTCCCTAAAGATTTTTCTCCCCACTGTGTTTAAAGGTGAAGCTGCAGGTTAATTCTCCACGTGGACAGAGAGTGGCACAGCCCTTGTCTTGTGGATCTATCTCACAGCAGTGCCTCAGGAATGGAGGCCACACACTTAGCCCAGAGCATTAAGGTTTGGGGAAGATATAAGTCTGTGCCACCACAGGGATGTCTGGGCAGTGAGGGGCACCAGGAGAGTGTTTTTTTTTTTTTTTCCAAGGGTAGAGTACGAAGCTGTGGGCTGTGGGAATGGGCTGGAGATAGCAGGATTGGGTAAAAACTGGCTGTCCCAAAGCAGACCCTGGCTGGAGCATCTTTTGCATTTTTACTGCTACTAAATTGCAAATAGGTAAAGAGAAAGCAATAAAGGTATTTGTTTTCCAGTATCCAGTCACAAAGTAGCCAGAATCTGAGGGATGGGAGTGCTGAATGCCTACACCAAGGTCTTCAGAAAGTGAGTACAATGAGAAATAATTTGCTGTTGACACTTAACACAGTGTTTTGACCTGTTCTGTGGAAAAAAAGCTTTCTCAAATAAAATTGGTGACAATTCAAGTAACAAAGGTGGCAAGGGGCAAAAGTGTACTTGAAACTTTTCACCAGTTTGGGGAGTCACACATGCCATATTCTTTAGGCCTTTGTGTAGTGTTACAGTGGGATTGAAAATTACACTTTTAGAAACCCTGAGATTTAGGACTACCTGTAAAAGGGAGACAAGACCCCAGCACAGAGTAAGCGGCACTTTCTGTATGTCAATGTAAGAGGTGCCATTTTTCATCACCCACTCTGACAATGCAGGAAAAGAAACAGATGGAGAAATGCATTGGACTGTTTAATCAGAAAATCTCTTAACTGCTGGACTGTGCAAAAAGGGGCCATGCCGGCATTTCCAAGAACCTGAGTACTGGCATAGCCGAGATCAGGGAAGGAAGTGAGTTAAACCTGTACAATGCACCAGCATCTTCTGGTGTTGTGGGTCACCTGAGCCTCCAGCCAAGGAGCTGCATAAAAAACTTTTCCCCTGTATTTCCCTTCCTTGGCATTAAACTGTAATCACCTGTGCAGGGGAGGGGCTGTGCTGCAACAGCAAAAGGATCAACGAGGGAGATGCTGGGTTTTGTGCTCCCATCTGTTTAAATGAAGGAATTGACTTGGGGGATTCTGAAAACCCCCTTAATGTCAGGGAAGAGCTGAATGTTTCATGAAAAACTGTCCAAGGTTTGGGGAAGGGGGAGGAGTGTGTGTAGGAAAAGGTATGTATCTAGCCTAAGTGGGACGACATGATTTGACTCAGTATCTGCATCTTGGGTTGCCTGTGTGGTATCTGACCAGGGTACGTGACCGGTCTCCTGGCTGTGGGTGCGCTGCAGGTTGGTGCCATATCACCATTTCACTGTGGTGACCCCTGGACTTTGAGTCCTGGGTGTGCTCTGGAGTTCCTGGGTTTGGCCTCCAGCCCCACACTGGAGCTCCTTGCTCCATGTCCTCACATGCACACACAGGGAACAAGGGAAACAAACATCCAGGAGCATATTGGCACTGTCTGGAAACCAGTGACTGCAGCTACCTGCAGATTTGCTGAGAGATTTCCCTAGTCTTTGGAAATTAGTGCCATGCTGGATCACAGGATTAGAGAAAATGGAAATATCCCTAAAGCGATAGGAGGCTCAGCATAGCTGGGGTTTCTTAGCCTGTCCCTCTCATTTTGAAGAGCTTTAACAGAAAAAGTGGTTTGTTCATGGAGCCCCATCTCATATGTCTGAAGCACGTCCTGCAGATGCACAGACTTGTACTCAGCAAGTTCATACCTCTTGGCCTTTCTCAACATAACCTCATTGGTGTCTTTCCTAGTCCCCTCAGCTGAGGATTGTGTATTGGGAATGCAGTTTGAGAGGACTTAGCTCCTTCTTGACAATCCTGAAAGGATGATTTATAACAAGTAAGCCCAAGGTGTTTCTCCCACATGTTGAGGTGTCAGACACAGGTGGTTGTGTGCCCTTGGCCCTAGGACAAGTGAGAGACTTATTTATCCAGTGGTACTCACGTGTTTGCTTGGGAACTATTAGAGGACTGGGAGGGGGCACAGCATAGGGAGGAGTGCTCCGGGACAGATTTAGGATCCCTCACCAGCTGCACCTCTACAGGTGCAAAAGAGCACCATCCCTGTGTAATGCCAGGGCCCATCAGTGGCTTCACCTGTGAAGGGAGGCTATTCAAAGCAAGGGATGGCAGGAAGGTTAGGTTGTGGATAAGTGTGTTGTGCTTGTGAGCAGCAGCACGTTCAGCATTGTAAAAAGATGTTTATGAAGCTTTTTTTCCAGAAATACCTTTTTTAAAAAGGAAATTAAGTGGTTTAATACTTGGGAGAAATACAGTGGAGAGTCAGAGGGCAGCTGGCCTGCTCCAAGACAGCAGTGAAGACACAGACTGCTAGCAGGTTACTGCACAGAATGGGATGCCCAACAGGTACAGGAGCATCTGCCTTGCTGTTGACTTATGCAAGTGTCACCTCAGGTAAGTGGCACGGAATCTGCACACATATGCCAGTGTTAAAGGGGTACAAGACAGACAAAAAGCTTGATTGGTTTTTTTAGGGAAATCAAAACCTTAAGAGTATTGCTAGGTAAAGTGCCAAGATGCCTTCATTTCAGGATGCATCTGACATCACTCTGTAGAGGTGAAACTAAATGGAGTTGAGAAACACTGTTGAGTTTTTCCTAAAATTCTAGTAGTGTCTCCTACTTTCAGTTCTCAAGTCCCCCCTCAACCTAAAAAGACCCTCACAAAAGGGAAGCAGGTTTTTTCTCATATATTAAACAGTAGTAAGTGGGAAGACTCCTCTGGCTCACCCAGCCTCACTGTGTAATGCAGTAAATGTTGTAGGAATCCTCTGAGTAGTAGGAACTGAAAATAGCTTTCTCCTTTGCTGTGCTAGTTTATTTCTCCTGTGCCAGATTTGTCTCTTGTTTGTCAGGGAAAACTGCCAGGAGTGTATGAGGAAACTCTGGCCGATGGGTGTTTGGAATACGCTGTTGTGAAAGCGCTTGAACTTCTCTAGAGCCCTTTCAGCGAGGGTTGTGAAGCAGCTTATGAACATCAGTTAATGGGAGGCTGTAAATAAGAGAAATCTGCTGGAGAAAAGGCTTTTCATCGTGAAAGGCCTGATCTGTTTTCATAATCTCAGAGGCAGAGGTTAATGCAATAAAGGCCAGCGTGGCTGTGGGCTGACTTTCCGTCGGTAATTTTTAGCCTGTAACCACACGTGGAGCACAGCCGTGCTGCTCATAAAAAGGTGCCAAGGTTAGGACAAAATGTCAGCCAGAGGGTCGGTGGCTCTACAGCAGGGCATGACCTGAGCAGCTGGGGCATGAGGAACAGCAAAACCTGCCTCTTGGCAGGAAATGTGCAGAGAAATGGCCCTTCCCGAGTGTGTGCACACAGGACTATCAGCCCCTGCCCCCGGAGAGGGAGTGGGTGCAGGAACAAGGTTAGTTACGTTTGGGTAACTAAAGCAATTGATATGTTAACCTTCCTCCCATCTCCTGATTGTACAGAGGACAGCTTAGGTTTGTTTTAAATGAGGAGCATCTAAGTTCTAATGAACCTGCACCCAAAAGAAATATTTGTATTTTATTTTTGGATGATGGTAGTGCTACTTGTGAGATGTAGGCTTGTTTAACCCTTATTTCTCCCAAGTATTTGCAACTCAAGCTTTACCACGACCTGTGCTTGGGAACAGGAGGGTGACCAGGTAAAACCTGGCTGTAGACAAAAAAATCTAATCATCGTCATTGCTGTTTTCCTCTAATTCTAGCGAAGCACAGCCCTTCTTGATGCACAGGGCTCCCAGGGAGCAGCTGGGGAGGAGGTAGCACATGGCCTCCCATGTTCTACCACATGCACTGCTGCTGAATGGGATCCAGTATTCCTGGATTTGCACACTTTGCCAGAATGTCCCTTTTTGGTGGCAGGATGTTTAACACCATTTCATCTGCTGCCTTCAAGATGCCTGTGTGACTGAGGCTTCGAGGTTACATGTACCAGGTCCATTATTTTCCACAGCCAGAGAAAATCAGAGTATCAACCTGCCTGCATGTACACAGCAGTCTGTTAAGTCTGCACCACAACACAGTGAGTTTGATTTCTGATCTCGTGTCTAGATCACTATCTGTCAGTATCTTTTGGTGTTTAAACCACAGGGGCTGTCTAGCACAGCTCCCTGAGACACAGAGCCTGCTAGAAAATGAGCCAGTGTTGTAGGTGAGGGAAAGAGATCTGGACAACTGAGCCAAATGTGCACCCCGTGGTAACGTGTTCTGGCACAGGATGCAGAGCCACATGCTGCCTCTAATGCATTGGGCTATTACTTGAGTGCGCCTCTTTGACAGTTTTGAACTCTTTTTCTGAACCAAAAGTCTTTAGCGGCTGTAAAACACACGCTTAAAAATAAAGGTACTTAATTTGAACAACACTTAATTAAAAGTGATAGCAGCCTCTCCCCCAATTCCTTCCAGCAGTGTTTTACTGAACTGCAGCTGAGGGATGTTTTGCAGTTCGTTAGCAGGTCCCTGAGGGCGAGTACTTA